TTTTAATAGAAAGTTCTAATAGAAAAAGCTAATAGGCTTCAGTATTAATAGACTCTAGATCTAATAGGCAGTCATAATAGGCTTAATAGTCCCCAGTCTTAATAGTCCCCAGTTATAATTTTCCTCAATCTTAATAGGCCATAGTCTTAATAGTCCCATCATAATAGACCGTAATCTTAATAGCCTCAAGTCCTAATAGGCCCCATTCCAAATAGGCCCATTCCTAATAGGCCCCATTCCTAATATGCCCCATTCCTAATAGGCCCCATTCCTAATAGGCCCCATTCCTAATAGGCCCCATCCCTAATAGTCCCCATTCCTAATAGGCCCCATTCCTAATAGGCCCCATTCCTAATAGTCCCATTCCTAATAGGCCCCATTCCTAATAGTCCCATTCCTAATAGGCCCATTCCTAATAGGCCCCATTCCTAATAGTTCCCAGTTCTATTAGGCCCCAGTAATAGGCCACTGTAATAATGATATGCATTAATAAGCCCCAATCTTAATGGACCCCAATCATTAACTTTATTATAAATATTATTGCTTCTGTAACTCATTCTGTTTCTTGTTTGTATGTATCTTTATTATCATTATGCTAATTCTTCTTTCTCTTCTGCTGATTGTCTTTCGTGGGACGTTTTAATTATTTATCTTTTTTAGGTTTTATTTCTTTCTTTTCTTTAAATCTTTTCTCGTTTATTTGAACCTTAAGTAATTTATGATATTCCTTTATTCTTTTATTTTTGTTATTTTTTTATTTTTTTTTATTTATTAATTTTTTGTTTCGTCTTTTGTTTTGCTTCATTTTATGTTACTCTTCTCTCTATCTCTTTTTATCTCATCCTTTTCTCTCCCGTGTCTTCTCTGTCAACCACTTCTTCAAATTATTTCTTTTCTTTTTAATTTGCTCTCTCTCTCTCTCTCTCTCTCTCTCTCTCTCTCTCTCTCTTCAAATTTACTACAGATTTTCATATGATTTTGTTCTCATTATTTTTCTGTTGGACGATTCGAGTGAGTGCCAATATTATCTGGAGGTCGTAGGGAACTGCTGATGGGTGTGTTGTCTGTTTAGAATAATCTTTTAAAAATATTAATCTAGTGTACGGAAAGTAAATTATAGAGTCACTGTCTATCTTATGAAATGATGAAAGTATACATATATATAATTTTTTTTTTATTACAAAATTTATCAGTATTATCTATGTATAATATTTAAGCCAATAGAAATATATTAGGATAATTTATTCTTAAGAAACTAAAAGGTAATTAAAAAAAGACAAATTACAATAATTCACATATTTATTCTTTTTTCAGAACTAACAAATTGTGTATTTTCTTATATCTATAGTAAGAATAATTTTTTCTCATAAAAGGTCTTTATATGATAAACTTTTAAATCTCATCTTAGCACCATGCGATCGCCCCGTGACTAGCTCAACCTCGGACCACTCCCGAGGAAAAATATAATAATAATAATAATAATAATAATAATAATAATAATAATAAATGTTCACTATATTAAAGGTGAATCTCCCTTAGAAACTCTTCAGAAAAAGACTCATTATTGCGTGAGACTGAGCATGTTGAGAGGAAGGAGTTGGAATCTTTATAAAGGCATCTATGAACCTGAATGGGAGTCGAACTCATGTCACTAGGTATGTAAACTATTCTATGAATCTTCTTAATTTCTGATACCTAATAACATATGAGTCCTTTCTCCTTTATACAAATGCAGTTGCTGTACTTGTTTCATGGTGTCTCGAGACGTAGGTTCGACTCCCGTTCATAATTTTACAGTTTTGTTCATAAATTCTCCGGTTACTATCAACAAGCTTCATGTATCTCTCTCTGTGACACTGTGACGGCAACTTATGGACTTGTACTGACCAACATGCCTCCTGCTTGTCTGCCTTGTATGCAAACACTGAACACTATTAAGGCTTTGCACACACACGAGACCTTGATATGATAAAGCAAGTTACAAGAGTGAAAAGAACAGAATCTACACATAAAAAAATATCGTTTTAAAAATTTTGGTGAACTTAAAATACTGAAGTGACAGTTTACAAAATACATTGTTTCGTATATAATTATCGAAGTCATTTACAAAACTTAACAGGATATAATTTACAGCGTACACAGTCTTCCCTTACAGGTGTGATTTACAAGACTGTTTACAAAAATTTCTCTAAGTATATATTATAATTCGTTTACAGATTACGAAAGGAATGTATTTTTAAAGGATTCACAATGGTATATCTTGGTAGAATTTAAAGTATAATATCAATCAACAGCGTTTAATGGTGAAATAGGAGGTTCCTTACTTTAAGCAGGTTCCCATTCACAATAAAGACTCAAACAGTAACAGGAAGATAAAATTTTCAATCATACCAGCTTTACAAAACATTAAATTACAGTGTGGAGGATCATAAGAACTTGTAATAGTCGTTCAGTGTTACAGGTTTTAGCATTACAGAGAGGACATTAGGATGTAGTGTTGGGTCCTATATGGTCAGTTTCGAGTCAGTGTCAAGTCAGTTTAAAGTGATTTTTTCAGGTCAGTTTTGGATCACCTTTGAGTCAGTTTTGCACTAATTTCAGGTCAGTCTCGGGTCAGTTTCAGGTAGACTAAGACATCAGAAGAACTAACACAGTAAACCCTCAGACCACACCAAACTGGACGGAATGTCTGGGATTTAGGAAAGTCGTTTACAAGGCATCAGAACATTTATGAAGTATTTGCATGGTTTCTACTCCACTGACATCGTGTTTATTTATTGGATACGTGATAGTTGTGCAGTCATCATGTCAGGATTCAAAGATAAGATTTTGATAAGCCCACAATTCCTTATTTTTGGTTCTTATTTTGTAGTAATTTCTAACCAGTCTTAAGGAGAGGGAGAGAGGGGAGAGGGGAAAGGGGAGAGAGGGGAAAGGGGAGAGAGGGGAGAGGGGAAAGGATTAGGTTTAAATTCCTGGTCTATGTTTATTCCCAGGAAGCAAGAAGGACACAAGGCACAGCGAGATGTTTATGTTCTAATGAGCGGACGTCAGGTAGTTATGTCGAACAGTTCTCATCACTGACTGGAGGAGGAGGAGGAGGAGGAGGAGGAGGTAGAGGAGGAGGAGGAGGAGGTAGAGGAGGAGGACGAGGAGGTTATACTGGGGTCATGTCATGGGGAAAGCCTTGACATCAGAGTCAAGGAAACAAATTAAGAGACTGCAGCATATTACGTTAACAAATAACACACAAAGGTAATTAATTGCACTCAGATAACCTTCGCTACATTTAGAGACAGAAAATCAGTTTTTGGGCAGGTGTTGTACACAGTGTTCCGGTCAACTTAAAGTATAAGTTTTGTAAGGTGTTTCATTTAACCACACCTGTTGAATGAGGTTAAAAGAGGCACATGTTATGTTCAAGATCTCCAGGTACAGGTGTTGACCAGAGGCACGAGGAGACACTGACTCAGGAAGGACAGGTCGAAAATTTCCCCCTTTAACCTCTGTATAACACCCATGATGACCTCTGCTGCTGGGGGTCAATCGTCATTATATCCTGAACTGACCTGACCTGACCTGACCACGTTATCTTATTTGGTGGACAAAAATCGTTCTGTATTTGAGATAGAATGTGAAGAAGAATGTAATTATAATATGATACAATGATCATCCAAACTGACAGACTGCGAGAGACTGGTCCTTCAGCCATAGGGTATTGGATGATTAGGTAGCCAGGTCCTTACACTCATCCAGTCAAAGCAACTGGATGACAATGTAACTCTCTTAAAGTCATCCAGCGGGCCTTTCCTAGTTTAAGAGTCGCTGGTTTGCGCCTGGGTCACCTCTAGTTGTGTAGGTGTTCCTAACTTTATACAGTAGTTGGGAAAGTGAGGGCGGTCGAGTGCCGTGCCAGCTACACTGACTCTTAATGAACCGAGGCTTAGTGTGTGGTATATGGGACCCACTTTCACAGTCACTCAGTTAGCATGAGTAATAAGGTAGTCAGGCTCCTACAGTCACCCACCCAGTTAGTTCCAGAACTTGACTGTGCAGAGGATGATGCCGTATACTTCAGTTACATAATGACAAGATAATCCACACATTAAACTGACAGATTTAAAAAAAGGCACTTTGTGTTTTCACGAATGACTGTTTTTTCAGGGATTTCCAACTTTTACTAGAAAAATACGTATTTTACACAGGTATAATGATAACCGGAATAACTACAATGAAAAAAAAAAGACTCATTAACTTGAGGATTGATGGACCAATAAAGATTGAGGAATTGACTCCTTCTACTAGGAAGTCGAAGAGTCTTTCTGGGGGGATGAGGAAGGGACGATTGAAGCGTGAGTTCTAAAAGCCGTATATAACAAGTTGGGTGTGTGGTTGAAGGTGTGTTGCAGCAGTGACTGAGACATCTCTCAACCGCACTCGACGGACAAACACCCACACTGACAGACTTGCATAATACGGCCGTAAGTTTGTTGGTGACTACGGCGATGCACTTAGGCTACTTGTACTACAGTGGGCTACTTATAATAACATAATTCTAAATTTCATTATAAAGTCTCTCAGCATATGTGCAAAAAAGATGTATTTTATATATAATTTCTACTAAGAAAATATTTTCATAAGGAACATTTTTTTTCTCAACAATGGCAGGACTATAGGCATGTTGCACTCTTTTACCCATACACAGAAGTCTGTCTAAGTTTGTACATGAGACAATGTAAAGAGGAAAGACAATGCGATAGTCCGTTGACCCCAGATCCAGGCATCACCGCTTGAAGACTTGGAGGTATATATTTTTTCCCACAGTTTATCCTTCACTCTTTATCTGTTCCGTTTTCTGTGGTAGTAGCATCCAGAGATCACAACCATGGACCTTATTTCCTCACTCTTGTTTTATTTAGATAAATATTGTTAATATATTATAACATCCACGGAAAAGTTTTATCAGTAATTATTATCACTTCCGTCTTTTTGGCGTCAATTTCTTCTGAAGTTAAGAGCGTCCATGATTACAGGTTACGGCTGTATTCAGAGACTGTTGAGGAACCCTCTGACGGAGGCTCTCACAGTCACCTTTTACTTCTCCCTGAAGAACAGAGCGTGTTAGAGGGGCTCTCACTCTGCTCACAGATGGGAGTGGAAGACAGCTGATTCCCATACAGGTGTTAAACTCCCTGACAAACGGCTGCCGACACCTGGCCCGTATACAAGTGACATCACTGTGTGTGACAGGGAGAGACCTCACGCCGAGATGACGGCCATGGGTTGTGACATCTTCTCAGCCGCGTCTACTTCCATGGGAGATATACTGGAGGAGGACTTAATGGTCACTTCGCAAGATATTTTTTCTCTCTCTTTCTCTCCTAATTCTTCTTCCTCTTCATCATCGTCGTCTTCTTCCACGTCGATGTACTCGTCTTCATCGTCATCGTCGTCGGCTACTTGTAAGTCGCCTCCTCTATTCTCCATGGGTTCACTAAGGTCGACGGGGTCTTTGCCTGCAGGAGGTGGAGGGGCGTCCTCGTCCCTGGGCCGTGACGTGTACCTCTTGGGGCTTCCGTCCAGGATAGTGGGTCCGTCTGACTCGTGTTTCTTCATATGTCGGTCGAGGTTGGTCTGCTGGCCGAAGGCCCGCTCACACAAGCGACACTTGTAAGGCTTCTCCTTGTTGTGAATATTCCGCACGTGACGCTGCAGGTTGGACGAGATGCTGAACGACCGCTCACAGAACTTACACTTGTAGGGCTGCTCACCTGTGTGAGTCCGCAGGTGTCTCGTCAAGTTTGCTGATCGCGGGAACACTTTGCCGCAGAACTTGCACGAGTATCGTTCTCTGGGCTTCACCGTCATGCCAGGCAGTACAGACGATACACCGTGAACTTCAGAATGCGAAGACACGCCTTTTGGCATACGATCATTGATAACTTGATAGAGGGCCGGGTGGCCCTGTGGTCCCGGTGGGGGCCCTCTGTACCCCGGAACCAATTGCGGGGAACCTGCGGAGGGGCCCAGGTGGTAGGCGTTGTGAGGGATGCCTATCACTGGGTAGGGCGCTCGGACGGTCGAGGCAGGAGGTAGAGGTCGGCACTCACTGGAGTACACAGGGACAGGTTGATGAACCCTCTGGTGGAGTGGCTGAGGGTACACTATTGTCGGAGGGTTGCGCGAGGTGACCGGACTCGTCACTGGCACCAGCTGTATGGTGCCGGTCTTGACGGGATGATCACTTTCTACTGACGACGAAGGCAGGTCGTGCGTGTGTTGCGACCTGAACTCATGCATGGGAGAGACGTACTTGGGGGAAGGAATTCTGCGAGGCACGGAGGGTGGAGTGCGACGCTCTACGATATTCATGTTTTCGTCCTCCACTGGCTGCCGCTTCTTGATTCTCAGGTCAAGCGGTTCATCACACTCAGAGAGGTCGAGAGGCCTTGATGCTGGAGACATGCGAGGCTCACGGTTATGGGTAGAGAGGTCAAAGGGCATGTCTGAGGCGGGCATTGGGGCATCGGAGGGCCAAGGCATCTGGTGGGTGTCGGGGAGGTCAGGGACTGGGTAGGAGGTGCGAGCCTCTGGGCACACCGCCGCCTGCTTAGGTGAACTCAAGGACCCGTGGACACCCATTGGCCTGAAGGCGGGTGGGAAGGATCTCTGGGGTGGCCCTGACTCGTCGTAATGCATCAAGGACGGGTGGGGAGAACGGGACCTAGCCAGCCTAGGAGGTGACGGCTGGGTGAGGGCAGTAGCCAGGTGGTTCCTGGGTGCCACCCCGGGGTACCGAGGCGTCGGCACTGAAGGGCGGCTGCTGTAACCGATCGACATCTGCGACGGGTGGATAGCCGCCATCTGGTAGTGGGCGTAGCCGGGTGAGGGCGTGAAGGGGCGTGGGCCGGGGGGGCCCGGGCGGGAGGGTGAGGCAGCAGGCATGGCGCACACTGGGGCAGCCCGGGGCACCAACATCAGGCGGGCAGGGGCGGGCACAGCGCTGCCTGCAACAACACAAACATCAACATTAAAAAAAAAGTCCAACTTAAAGGCATTATCATTAACCAGTAATTTTACATTATATTAAATATCATTCCTTATCTAACAAACCATTTTAAACACAAAAGATAACACATTTTTGAACTTCTAAAACTGTTTAATAGATAAAGAGACTTTTATACAGGAGCGGCTATTGTCCAGGTTGAGGAAGTGTTCGAGTTAGCTGTCTTAAGTTACACGTGTATATTAACATGATAATAAGGAAGCTGTCTTGTGGATCATGTTTGTTTAAGTTGGTCTGACTGGTTTTCCTCCACAACCGTCACTCACGAGGAGATGCAGCAAGCTGTCCTCAGCTCCAACCACTGTGTTTATTCTACGTCCTGAGGCTGCCGCCACCAGTCTATATCCCCTGTTACCTGTCTACCTCTCCACGCGACAACCCACTTTTCACTAATCACACCTGTAAGTTAGCCCCCCCCCCCCCACACACACGGGGAACTACTGTTTGTCGCTGAAACGTCGCTAAACCAAATATTCAAGCCAATATCACCCTAAGTTTCTCTCAGTATAAGGTTCCTGTGGTTTATTATATATACAGTATATGAACTTTACAGCTTAGAGTAAATCCCACTGTCTCAATATATCGTAAAGTCTCGGTCAAATCAATCATGTAGAGGTGTCATGTACCTGTTTGTATCAGTTTCATTAAAGGCATAGATTTACGTAGAACAGATCATCTAAATGCTCTGGTGTTACAAGATGCACATCTCTCTCATCTCCACACAAAGCAACAGGAAATATATTCAGGTCCTTATTGTCATGGGGGGGAATGCGTTTCGTCTTGAGCAACAGGATGAAGGACTACTTGGAGGAGACGCAACTGTTGTCAATCTACTTGCTGGTAACAGATAATGATGTATAGATGTAGATGATAACGTCGTGTATAAACATCTATGAACATCTACGACCGAGTAAAGTAAAATTAAGAAGCATTAGTTTGTCTCTGATCAATTCCTGGTATACTTTTCTCTGACCTCAATATTTTTTCTTCTTTTCATAAATCTTCCTTAATCGTGTATCTGTTCCTCTCACGGTTCGCCTTGACCTTTAATCAGTCCCTTATATGAGTCTCCATGGCAGAGGTATATTTATCCGTGGTGTAGGTCTCCGTAACATAAACACGGAGATAAACACGGAGATAAGGTTCAGGAGGAGGAGGAGGAGGAAGAGGAGAACTACCCTCTTTTTTATCTTTTTAATTTTCTTTATCCCTATGAGTTCTTCTCCTTTGCCGTTAACCTCTTGTAATGAATCCCACCAAGAAGTCCTATGGGTTACGTGCCTTAGTATCCTCCATAGGTTAGGTTAGGTTTGGTTAGGTTAGGTTACGTTACGTTTCGTTCACTACCACAGAATCCTCCATAACTGTCCGGTGACTTTCCATATTTCTTTACGATCACTGCTACATCATCTCAAGAACTGCCTAATCATCTCTTAAATTCGCCTAAGCATATCAAGAAGTCTTAATCTTCGCCACACTTATCTAAAGGACTGGCTAATCACCCCCACACTCAGGTAGAGGACTGGCTAATCACCCCCACACTCAGGTAGAGGACTGGCTAATCACCCCCACACTCAGGTAGAGGACTGGCTAATCACCCCCACAATCACGTAGATAATTGGCTGGTCGCTTCCAAACACATCTTGATGATTACCTGATCCTCACACCTGTCTTGTGGGCGTCTCATTCAGCCAGACTTTCATCTCCCGTCAACCTTGATACCCCAGATAAGGAGAGATGCCCTGGTGCAAGGTCATCATGGTGGTAAAGTCATCATGGTGGTAGAGTCATACCTAAAACTTAACCTAACCGAACCTAACCTAGCCTAACCTAACCTAACCTAACCTATTAATACCCCCAACGACACGGGGCCCAGGTAAATATTGCCGCCATCCAGGTGAACTAGGAAGTGTTCATCCCTTAGAGTGTTAAGCCACAAAGATTTTTAAATGATTGATACATATATATACATAGACAGACAGACACACAGACAGATATTCAGTAAAGTGGTCATACATATTCATATTGTTTCAGCGTATACATAGACAGTGTATGTATACGAATGCTGGATTGATGTTTTGACGTATTTTATTTAATTAAGATAAACTATTCAAATCTATTTTATATACGATTGAAAACATTTATTTTAACTAATTCCTTATTTCAAGCGTTAGTTTAGTAAGACAAATTTTGATGACAATACATTTCTCAAACAGTCTTAGATATATTAACTGAATGGAAACTCACGAAGACATTTTAAGAGTTTTGGTGATGTAGACTAGAGATTTAAAGTTCATTTAGACGATAGAATTTAGCAACAAGAATCTATTTCTACCCCAAAAGTTGTTGTTGTTGAAATTGTTGTTGTTGAAATTGTTGTTGTTGTTGTAGTCATGATTAAGACCATCAAATAGAAAAATCTCAAACCAGTAAACCAACTTCATTGTATACTTTATTTTTTCCCCCAGGAGTATTATTAAGGTAAACCCGAACGCGTGAACATTCTAACCAAGACGTCCTCAATCTTCTCAACCAACTCGGCCTATCACAACAATCAACGTGGGTGTCTCAATATATAGTTCAAAACAATGCAGGTCGGTTGTGCAACGTTACACAACATATTTAAGTAATCGGAACGAACAATAGAGCCCAAACATACTGGAGTTAAGGCAATATTAAAAGAAAACAAAAAAACATCTTTTAAATAGGGTGAGAATGCTCTTGGAGTTACTATATGAGGTGTTGATTCTAATATAGTTATATACGTAGGATTGGATTCTCTTGTTATTAATGGTTGAAGGATTTGGTTCTTGGATAGACATGGTAAAGGGTTTTGTATTGTTTGATAGGTAGACGAGGGACTGGATTCTTCTACGTAAAGGATTCGATTTCTTACAAGTTGTTAAATAATCATAGCCTTTTAATTCTGTTGGAAGTAGTGGGGTATTATTAGGCTATGTAAACGATTGAATTCCTTATTGGGTTTCAAGAACTTATATTTTTACTACCAGTTACATAAGGGATTATATTCTGCATTAGCTACGTGCGTGGTCGTGTTAATTCTTGCTTCAAAGTTTGGTTCAATTTTCCATCATAAACACTCATTTCTTGTATTCTTTCTTAAACCTACAGCCAAACAAAGTATATAACGGAGACTACTATCAAAACCTCCATTATCAAGGTACATAAAACACGTCGTAGTTACTATTTACGAAAATATCATGAGGTAGGTCAGATCAGGTTTTGATTCCTTCACTGCCCGCCATTTTGAAAGTAGCATCCACTGCGCAGACACTCCTGACGGTAGCCGCATATCTTAAGCTACCTGACGATAAACAAACTTGATATTTTCGTGTTGTTTTGATACTTATACGTGTAGTGACTTATTGAATGTAATTAAACATGTTATTTACCTGTTTTATAAGTGGGAAAAATTACAATTGTATATAAACAGTTAATGAATGATAGAAAGATGTTTACAATTAAGTGGTCAATCAAGTGAGGTTATTATGACGTCAGACTAAGGCTAGGTATCTGAGGTTGGGCGTCCATTGGGCCCCAGTCCTAATAGACCCCGTTATTATTTACCTACCAAACTTGACCATTTGGATTAGGGAGTCTATTAGAATGGTGACCTATTAGAATGGTGAACTATTAGAATGGTGACCTATTAGAATGGCGAACTATTAGAATGATGACCTGACCTATTAGAATGGTGACCTATTAGAATGGTGACCTATTAGAATGGTGACCTATTAGAATGGTGATCTATTAGAATTAGGAATAAATGGGATTAAAGCTCATATAAACTAAGCAATGAAAGAAGGACTATTGAGAGAATGAAAGAAAAGGGAAATAACCATCTGAGTGAATGCAGCGATGAAAGAAGAAGAACCAGTGATGGACATACTAAAATAAACAAATCTTCAATAAATAAAGATAATGAATGAACTAGTGAAAGAAGTGATAAGTAATATGAAAGAAATGATAACCTGAGACTTATAAAAGAAAAAAATAAATCCCTCCATTGAAGATGAATGAATAAATGAAAGAAAAGAAAATGTTAAGGAAAATGTATCATCTAGATGAAGTAGTGAAAGAAGTGTGAGTAAAAGTACTATGTTGTGAAAGAGGTGGGGGCGACTAGTGATGGAGGGGTGTTGCTTTCTAGTGAGGGGCAGTGGTGGTGAGTGATGTGGTGGTGATGGTGGTGATGGTGGTGATGGTGGTGATGGTTGTGATGGTGGTGATGGTGGTGGTGATGGTGATGGTGGTGGTTTTATCACCACCATCAAGACCAATATGTATGTATGTATGTATGTATGCATGTATGTATGTATGTATGTGTGTATGTATGTATGTATGTATGTATGTATGTATATATGTAATGTATGTATGTATCTATGTATGTGTATGTGACATATGAATCTGTATGTGTGTGTGTATGTGTGTATGTGTGTATGTATGTATGTATGTATGTGTGTATGTATGTATGTATGTATGTATGTACAGTATGTATGTATGTATGTATGTATGTATGTATGTATGTATGTATGTATGTATGTATGTATGTATGTATGTATGTATGCATGTATGTAAAATAAATACATAGTTATAAATATGTACAAATTAGAAGGAAAATGTGAGAAGAAAATGAATGAAGAAGGAAAATGAAAGATGAAAGAAAAGAAGAAAGAAAATTGAATGAAAGAAACAAACCAATTTTATCCAATAACTTTTTCTTGCTTCTTTTGTAATTAGTGTTAAGTCTTTCCTAACCTGACCACATCCCAACCAAAACCTAACCAAACCCAACCAAAACTTGACCACATTCCAACCAAACCTCCAACCAAAATCTGACCACACTCCAATAAAGCCCCACCGTACACAGACAATTCACAACCAAAATCTAACCAAACCCTAACCAAATTCCAACCTAAACGTCAAATCTAATTCTCACATTATCAAAAAAAAAAAAAAGAGATACCGCCAGCACGAGCCCTCAACATCGCCAGTCACATCCCTTTGGACTGTTTTATGCTTGCACTGGCGTTTGAGCGTGAGTCTCCTGCCGGTGTATGCTGAAGGCGGAGGTGTGACCAAGTGTGACCAGGGCATCGGGGTGAGTCGTCAGGTGCTGTGGCCAGGTCTTGACGCCCAGGGGCCAAGAAGTGGATGCTGATAACCACCACCGCCTCCTCCTCCTCCTCCACCCTCTTCTTCTCTTCCTCCTCCACCCTCTTCTTCTCTTCCTCCTCCACCCTCTTCTTCTCTTCCTCCTCCACCCTCTTCTTCTCTTCCTCCCTCCCCCTTCTTCTCTTCCTCCTCCCTCATTCTCCCTCTCCTCCTCATCTCCTCTATCCATACTACCCCTTGCGGACTAGGGCGAAGGGGAGGGGATAGGAAGAGAATCGAAAATAGGATGCGTAGGGACAAGTGGACGAGAAGTATGGAAAAGCAATAACAAAGGGAGAGGGATAGGGAGGAATAGGCGTATCGACATAGAGGGATAGAGATTGGGAAAGAGTAGAGAGATGATAAGGTGGTGAGAAGGAGATAAAGAATAGAGATGGAGGAGAGTAGAGGAGAAAAGATGAGAGGGAAGAAGAAGGGGAGAGTTGAGGGAATAGGAGGGTTAAGGAAGGGGGGTGATGGAGAAAGGGGAAATAAGAGAGAGAAAGAAGAATTGAAAGAAAGATATTAAAGGTGTAGGTAGATAGCATGAACAGATATGGGAGACAAGTGGGTGGGAGAAGAGTGTGGGGAGAGAAATGTGGGGTGAGGAGGCCACGATGGGGGAGAGAGAGTATGGTCAGAGAGCAGCAGGGGAGGTGGTATGGAGACAAAAAAAAAACAAGTGAAGGTTTACCAGTTTCTCTACCCCTTCTTCCCCACGCCCCCAGACCCCACACCCCCGTGGAATCGGACCTACAACCCTGACCTCGTTGGGATGCGGCTCCTCCCACCCTCCCCTCCCCCACAAAGACGGGGGAAAGATAGCAGAATTGAGAAGGTGGTGGGGGAGGGGTGGGGGAGGGTGGAGATTGAGACGTGGTGGGTGAGGAGGTGCTGTTGCAAGATTCCTCACTTCCCCCACCATCACCTCCCCTCCCTACCCACACCCTGCCTGTCCACCACACCCTACCATCCCTCTCCCCCCTCTCTCTATGGAGCCTTTAGTTTAAACAAAATAACAATATAACAAATTAATATTCTAAATTAATCCAACAACAATACTTTTTTTAACACCAATTAACATAAAAACCTAATTATGAAATCTTAAAAAAAAAAAATCGTAAAATAACATTGAATTGATGTCTCATATCTGTATTGTATGATCCGCCACGGCAGGAGGGAGTGTGGTGGTGACCCCTGGTGAGGCAGTGCAGGATATACCATATCACATGACGCCCCGGGACGCTTCCTAGTCCGAGTGAAATGATCAGTTCCTTCAAGTATTTAAATCCTTTGGAATATCTCTTATAACGTGTTTTCTTATTCTTATATTTATCTTTGTTTCTCTATATTTATTTATTTATTTGTCTTTGTTTGTGTTCCATCGGTGTTAGTGATCTTCATTTGTTTTTAGTATTTCCTCTTTGTGTTACATCAACTTCCATAGGCTTGGTGTTGGTCTACGTCCCGTCACTTTCAGTTTCCGTGTGCGTCTTATCTGTGTCCATGTGCGTCTTAACTGTGTCCATGTGCGTCTTAACTGTGTCCACGTTCGTCTTAACTGTATTAACTGTCTCCATGTGCGTTTTATCTGTCTCCATATGCGTCTTATTTGTCTCCATGTGCGTGTTATTTGTCTTCATGTGCGTGTTATCTATCTCCATGTGCTTGTTATCTATCTCCATGTGCGTCTTACCTATCTCCATGTGCGTGTTATCTATCTCCATGTGCGTCTTACCTATCTCCATGTGCGTGTTATCTATCTCCATGTGCGTCTTACCTATCTCCATTATATGTCTCTATTTCCGTCCAATCAATCTCCGTTCGCGTCTTATTGCTCTCCATTTACGTGATATGGATCTACGATTGTGTTTGATTAGCCTCGATTTACGCCACGCTGCTCCAATGGCATTATAACTCCTTCACAAAAGTCATAAGTCACTTCTCGTATCATCCCTTGGTTATGTTCGTGTGTCTTGACTCCTTATGCTATGAACTTGATTTTATTTTGTTTTTTTATCTTGAGAGTTTCTATCATGTTTACTTTCAGTTTTAGAATCATCTCTTAATAGAAAGTAGATAAAGAGTATAGTAAGGAATCATCAGCTAGTCACCAGTGGCCCTCAAACAAGCCTTAAAAACAAGCTCTAGACAGTCATCTCTCCTCAGAAAAACGATGTTATATGCCAGGGTTAGAATGATTGTTATCTAAATGGCGTTGAAGTCTCCATGGGCTGTACTTAACTTCATGAGTTCGTTTAGTATTAGCACAACTCTCTAAAAGTGTTTAACTGTGAGTGTATTTTATAAAATTTAAGTGCGTTCATTCGAGATAGTCTTACGGAGGAAACGAAGAGAGTGTGTTGGGGGGGGGGGGGGGGGGGGTGGCGGAGAGACAGTGTGTGAAGGTCGGAGGAGTCGAGACGCAGCAGGTGTGTCACTGGGGCGGCCACGGATGACGGGCTGTGAGGCCGTCATCACGCTGGCGCCACGGATAATGCAACAATACTATGTGGCCTTCTGAAGCACCCTGTAGCCCCGTAGGAGGAGCTAGAAGAGAGGGAGATGGAGATAAGGAAGAAAAAAAGAAAACGGAGAAGGAACGCTAGAGTTGACGGAAGCAAGAAGATGGAAGAGCAGGAGACGCACAAGAGGAAACTGGGATGAGTCTACCACTACGAGGCGGTGACGGGAAAACAAAACGAAAGCGAGTCGGTGAGAAGACACAGGATGAATCATATAAGGAAGAGGAGTCAGAGAAAAGCGAGATTAATGTACAGGAAATGGTGTAGTAGGAGGATGAGTGGAGTAAGAGAAGGAGGAAGAAGAGGAGAGGAGGAGGAGGAGGAGCATGTTAAGGTGATGAGAGGGTGGAGAAAGAGAGGTATACGGGGAGGCTTGATAATCACAGGGTAAGGAAGATAAGACAGGCGTGGCCTGGAGGGGAATCCCGGATGTTTCCAGATGAAGACGATTATGTTGTTTAAACGAAGGAGTCGGAATTGCCAGAGTTGGAGACGGATGTACTCGGTAAACACTTCCCGGGAACCACTATTCTGAGAACCACATTCACGACACCTGACAAACTGGTTTTCTATGGCAATGAAAGCTTCTTAAACTAGACACTTTAAACACATCAAATAAAACCCCACAGGAAACATGAATAACTAAACGAAGGAAGAGAAACCAAGAACCGCGGTGAAAGGGCGTCCGAATAAACACATCACTGAAGGTTATTGATGTAAGTGGGAGCTCGGACGCGTGCCGGAGCGACCCCCTGGCGAGTTCAGCTCAAGACGCACTTAAGATGCTGGTCTTCGTAGGGCTCAGAGTGAGTTAAGCTTCACCTTATTGGTAGATGAGTGGTGAGATGACTCGAGCATTAGAGGGAGAATGTTAAAGTCAAGTCAGTGGTTTCTGGTGAGTGAAAGGACTGGTATCTAGTGAAGGAATAAGTAAACACTGCTGTTGCTTGTGAGCGAATGAGTAAAATGAGTAGTGTTTTTTAGTGAGCGAATACCAGCAGGACTTAACTTACAGTGAGTCGATGGTTAAAATTCTTGGTCTCTTGTTAGTAGATAAGAGAGCTGGTGTTAGATACGTCGTGTTTATGTGGTATCTAGACAACACATAAGAGAAGAAAGAACATCACCAGAGTAGATAACGAAAGTAATTGGTATCTGGACACTGGACGGGTCAAATACACAGTTTTAACACAAATGCATATATATTAAACTCGTTTTTGATGATGCTTCTTGTGGTTATGTTATCGTTTCGCAGAGAACTTTGTTAGAGTAGGAATATACTGAACAGGATGAGAGAGATAACATGAATCATTGATAAAGAGGAAATGATGAAGTGAAAATAATGAACTAGAGAACGAAGAATGAGGAATAGTGGAAAGTGGATGATGAGAGAGAAGAGAGGTCACTAAGGGAGGGAAGGATGAGGAAGAAGGGGTTGTAGACAAGAGTGGAGAGTAAGACGAAAGAGATACAGCGAGAATAACAAGAGAGAAGAACACTTTCTACAGAACCACACAGGAAAATAAATAATAATATCTCTAGATAAATAATGGAGGGTGGAAGATGAAATCGTGTTCTTTTACCTCAAGTGGACTGGGTGGAGCTCCTCGATGTGCTTGTGTTCTCGGCGGCATTGGTGGATGACTCCACTTGTGCGTTGTGGCTTAGACCGAGTGCCACATACATGGATACTCCCGCTGGCACTACCGTCCACAGTGCCACACTCAGACTGTATTCTTTACCAAGTTTATCCCCGAGACATCAATGTAGAGTTGCTTATATTGCACTATACAACACCACAGTCCTCTCAGTATTGCATGTTATACCACTGGCACTGTTGCTCGGGAGTGCCAGGAGGTGTGAGAAGGCACTGATGAGGTATAATTATCTTATTTGGTTATCCGGATGTTTTTTATTCACTCGTGGCACAGATAACCGATGTGTTGGACTTCCTGAGTACAATCCTTCACCACTACAGGACCGTCGTGTAGGAGTTCACGTTGTAATGATTGACTGGAGGATTATCGACCCTCAGTAACTCTAAAATCACATTCTCGTCCCCTATAAATTTTGATTCATAAGGACGAGTCACATTATTTTAATTTCTTTCGTTGTTTCAGAGTTAGAAGTAGTGATCACAACTTAAACTTCACCAGGAGTGTACGTAAACTTTCTGTCAATATCCACCTAACACGCTCCAAGACTTCAGTACAATCATTCGCAAAAGTTTATATAATTTTTGCGATAATTTTGTTCTTTCCAGCAGTCAAATGGATCATCTTTTCCATTATAACATTTGTGGGTCACTTATTAGAGTCACCATGAAAACAGAGGAGTAGGTGGTCACTGTTAGCCAGTCACCAGTTCTCGTTGCTAGATTCTTGTCCGGATTGTGAGTGAAGTGAACTCCTTAGGGTCCACAGGAGGAGTAGTAGGCCATACGGGCGTAGAAGAGCGATTGCGGGCGTGAGGGCAGGGAATTGGTAGTGGTGCAGGCGTGGTGAGGGTGGTGGGTGGGGGCGGCGTGAGGTGGGGGGGGGGAGGGGAGGCAGCAGGCAGGCAACAGTAGCAAGAGAACGTGAAGCTCCGCCGCAGACAGAGCCGCCAACCAGACTAACTGGTGCTCTGTTGATCTCTCAGCCACCCGCCACACCCTGCCCGACGCAAACCAACACACACACGCACACGACACGACACACACACACACACACACACGCACATCACGGCCCGCCCTCCCTGTATGTGTAGCAGTTTTTGTATAATACCGTTACATCTTCTCTTGTGACGGGATTATCTCTAAACTCTCCCACCTCTCGTGTACACAAACTCCCCCTCCACGTCCCCTACACCACCTCCACCACGACCTAACACACCAACAACTGACCCACAACAAATCCCCTGCAACATTACTCCAGCGGACCAAAAGATCTGCAAGAGAACGAAACGATACGGAACATTATGGTTACACCCCTGAGTGGCAATATTTAAGCCAGTGAGTCCAGAACCAGAGTACTTAGCGGTGGAGCCATAAGTGCTAGAGTCCTGAGGTGGAGCAGGGGAGGGGCGCCTTATGGACGCCCTGGTCCAGCTTCGTCCCGGCGCCCTTGAGGAAAAAGGATTGTGTATGTGCCGATCTAGTGTTGTGGGATGTTGATTGAGAATATTGAGATGGTTCATTGGTAGTGGTGACAGTGTTTACTTCTCTCTCTCCCTTTCTCTTCCATATCTAGATAGTTTTGCTCTCTCTCTCTCTCTCTCTCTCTCTCTCTCTCTCTCTCTCTCTCTCTCTCTCTCTCTCTCTCTCTCTCTCTCTCTATATATATATATATATATATATATATATATATATATATATATATATATATATATATATATATATATATATAATATAAGCAGCACTCATTATGTACTCATATAAACAAAGCCTCCCTGGTAAACACACTCTCCACCTCCCCCACAACATAGGGCAGGTAATGACAGTAATGAGGCGGGCAGCAGCACCATGGCAACGGGAGCTTCACCTTGCTCGGCCCAGCAAAAACCCTCCATACACTAGAAAGTGTGAATGGGTGTTGGTGGCGGGGCACCTCCTCCCTCCATCCACCCAACTCACCCCCACCCTGAATCTGGTGGTGGGCACCCATGGCCCCACCTCCACCCACCCCGGATCTGCCCCAGTTTCACGAGCTGTTTGTGGCCGCCACCCGCTCACTCCCGCCATCTATCGGCCAGAGCAGCAACTGTTTGGGTCCAGGTGATCGTAGCAGTCCCCAACCCTACCTGTGTGAGACCGTCCTCCGTGGAGGTGAGACGTGCGTTCCTCCGCTCTCCAGACTGGCGATGTTTATACGCCTCAGCCTCACCCAGTCGCCGATCTTTTCGACTTCTGATTGGAATTATTTTTAAATCTAACACGAGATTTTTACTAGGGCTATTTTAAACATTTCTTTCTGCTATTCTGAAGACTGACAAAGCCTTACATCGCTGGCTCTTTCATGATTGGGCGACGATTAGCGACACCGAAAGTTTACTTTGTTAATGTCGAGATTCGTATGAACAAATCATCTGTTTCTCTGATGATTGGTGAAGCATATCGCCCTTGGCTTACTGATTAACTGATCATTTACACTACCAAAAGGGGATTTTACTTAAATAATTCAAACATCATTTAGTTTCTATTGGCATTCAAGTTTCAACAGTAGCAGGCAATAGAGAACACAGTGATGAGTGAATCCAAACTACCTGCTCGGGCCAGTAATGGGATTCGTTAATCTTGAGGGATTTGTAGGTCAGATAGGCCATTAAATTCTTAAGTCATTAGTCTTAACAAACCTAACGTAACCTAACCAAAAAGTTGGATTGGGATTAATGGTAAATAAGGGTGGTCCCAAATTTTTAAAGTTAGGTTAATTTGTCTATGATTAGGTCAGGTTAATGTGGGTTAGGTTATGTTAGGCAGGGTTAGGTGGGTAAGGTTAGGTTACGTCAGGTTAGGTTTGGTTAGGCTAGGTTGTTTAGGTTAGGTTAGGCTGCGTTAGGTTAGATTAGGTCAAGCTAGGCGGGGGTTGAGGTTAGGTTAAGTCAGGCTAAGCTGGTTTAGGTTAGGCTGCGTTAGGTTAGATTAGATCAGGTCAGGTTAGTTTAGGCTAAGTTAGGTTAAATTCGATCAGGCTAAGGTGGTTTATGTTAGGCTGCGTTAGATTAGGTTAGGTTAGGTTTGTTTGGAGTTGAGGAGGATTGGAGTACATTTAACCAGTCACGTGCGGTAGACAGAGATGTACTTTGACCTTTCCTTTTAATCTCCTTTGAGTCACCACCTTCACTCTTACCCTCTTCTTGTCCACGAGACTTGACACCCAGGAAGCTCTTTAACCTTAACCCAGGAAGCTCTTTAACCCTAACCCAGGAAGCTCTTTAACCTTAACCCAGGAAGCTCTTTAATCTTAACCCAGGAAGCTCTTTAACCTTAACCCAGGAAGCTCTTTAACCCTAACCCAGGAAGCTCTTTAACCCTAACCCAGGAAGCTCTTTAACCTTAACCCAGGAAGCTCTTTAACCCTAACCCAGGAAGCTCTTTAACCCTAACCCAGGAAGCTCTAAGCCTCACTCCCTGTGTCATAATTATGGTAACATGTCTTAAAGATTGTTGCTGAAACTCTAATGTATGGCTGGATGACCTAATTTTTTGGCACTATAAACTCTAATTCTTAATTTAGAATCTTAAATATTTGCCCGATGGCCCTAAATTTTTTACCTCCAAGGAATCAAATTTTTCCCTGGGTGACATAATTCTTGCCCAGAGAGACTTAATTTTCCCCTCGAACTCCCTCACCCCCACCCCCATCCCCATCCCCCTCAAAAAAAAAATACCATAAAACTAAATTTGTTCTAAAATTTGCCTCCTGAGAATCAAGTTCTTATAATCCCCTCCCAAAAAAAAAAATTCTGCCTCAAACTCTTAATTTCCTCCAACCTGCCGTGATCACACAAATTCTTACTTCTTAAAATTCTAAATATCATCCCCCAACGAGTTACTTTGGTCAGTTTAGGGAGTTAAGTAGAAGATGATGTAAATAACGCTAAATATTAACGAGAGAGTATATGTATAGAGAGGGTGAGTTATAAGTGGGGTTGATAGGTGTACATTACGGAAGAAAAAGTGAGAGGGAAAGAGAGAGAGAGAGTGGAATGGAGAAAAAGAGAGAGTTATAGAAATTGAGATAGAGAGAGAGAAAGAGCTAAGGAGACAGGTGTATTAGTCACCTGAGTAAATGGAGTGGTTACTATATGCATGATTAATTATTCTCGGCTCTTCTGATGATTCGCACGTCTCTCTCTCTCTCTCTCTCTCTCTCTCTCTCTCTCTCTCTCTCTCTCTCTCTCTCTCTCTTTCTCTCTCTCTCTCTCTTAAGGTCGTTCACCCTGTCGTCAGTATTCGCTCACTGGTCGATGAGTTATAGGAGCAATTGTCCATTCTTATAAAAATCGAACGAAATAGTCAACAGAAATTTATAAACGGAGGTGATTGGTGACTTCTGTTGACCGTATTTGTTCACATAAAAAGAACGAGTGAATTAACCAATGAGAAAAAAGAACGAGTGGAAGGTAAAATTGTGATTGGTTTAAATACTGTTTGTTAGATATGTATGGTGAGTTATGTGATGATTGGTATTTTTTATTTATAGGATGAAATATTGTAGTTAATTTTTTCATCTATGATTATTTACAGGATAGACTACATACATAGAAATATTATACTGTTGATGATTGGCTGTCTGACTCATATGACCCAACCAATAAGAATAAATGGAAAACCTTGACTTAAGAAATTGTTTACGAATAAAATTTTAAATTGATGTGTCTAGGTATTGTAACAAGAAGTTTTCGTAAATAACATATATTATATATTTTTTTATTTATCTAGAGTATATTTTACAGCATGGGCTTACTATTAAAAACAAACAAACAATCAATTACTGTGTTTAATGACAAGGTGTTTTATTTAAGTCCAGGGACATTATAAACGTTACTGTGTGTTAGTTTTTAAGCAGTAAATTACTTCGTTATATTGTTTTATTATGAACATTTTCTCCTAGTAATTCAGGCACGAGTGAATCTCAATTACGGGAATTATTTACCTACTTAACCTGAATAGATCAAGGACACCCATTGACCTTCCTTGACCCCAGGGACCAAATTCTACTCACACACACACACACACACACACACACACACTCACACACACACACACACACACACATAATACGGTCAACTTGTTTCAAAGCAAAAAGTTTGTGATTTCGGAAGGGTGGGAGGGCCGAGTAGGAGAGGGGAACAGGAGGAGGGGATTGAGGAGAGGGATTGGGATAGGAGGTGGAGGAGAGAGGAGAATAGAGAGAAAGAGGAAAGCAGAGAGAGGAGGTGAAAGGGAGGGGGATAGAGGGGGTGGAGAAGGAGGGAGATGGAGGAATAAATAAGACAGAGGAAGAGATGGAGAGAAGGAGGAAGGAGGAGGGAGTGGCCAGGGGGAAGGAGGGAGGGAGGGAAGAGAGGAGAAGGAGTAAAGAGGGGGGGAGGGGAGAGGGGAGAATAATCGTCAGGCAATTATCAAAGCCACAGACCAAACACAAGTGATAATATACTGCATACATAATTGGAGTCCTTGGACAAACCACGGCTCTGTTAGGTTAGGTTTGGTTAGGTTAGTTTTGGTTAGGTTAGTTTTGGTTAGGTTAGGTTAGGTTAGGTTATATAGGAAGCTATTATATGTATTATGATCACGTAGTTGGTCATCTATGGTCAGCCAGCGTGGTACTGTGCACACCATGTTATATATGCCTACAAAATCGGCCATTGATCTCCTGGAAGATGTGAAGGAGAGAGACCTTGGCTGTATGTTTACAACGCTTGGTTCACCTCCAGCAACGATGGTCGCAAGCAGACAGGAACGAACTCAAAAGACGAATTCAGTCTCCTTATACATGCATTTTATCTATGCTTGTAAAACTTAGCCACGGTGAATAATCAGGCGGGGTTATAAGCCAACGAAAAAAATAT